GGAGAGGCGGCTAGAGGAGGGAGGAGTGGGGAGAAGGAGGGAGGCGAAGGAGGGAGGAGGGAGGAGGGATGAGGAAGAGGAGAAGGAGGAGGCTTACCGAGGCCGGGGGATGGCGGCGACGCCGGCAGCAATGCAGCGACGGCGGCGGCAATGCGGCGACGACAGCAATGGTAGGAGCAGGACGGCCCCGCGCAATGGTGACAATGAGGCAGGGGAGAGTGAGGAAAGGGCGGGCCGGGACGGGGATAAGGCCGGGTTAGCAGCAGCACGGGCCAAGGCCCAACGCTACTACTATCTAGTAAGTAGTAGCGTGGTTCCCACACAGGCGCTACTACTAAACGTAGCATGTTGGCAACCGTGTGGCATGTATAGTGGTAGCGCGTTTTGTTCCTACCGCGCTACTGCTACATACATAGCAGTAGCGTGTTTTGTATACATGCGCTACTGATAATTAGCCGTAGCGCCTTCTTTTAGCCCGCGCTACTGGTAAGCTTCTATGTATAAGGTTTTTCCTAGTAGTGATAGTTTAGGGGAGGTTCATGGGTGAGGTGCTTTAGTAATCCCATAAAAACTTCCTCTAAAAGTGTTTTTTTGTGACAAAGGCGAGGCGGTGGCGGCGGGTAAGTGAGAGGCAGCGGTGGCGGCTGCGCAATGGTACTGGCACCGATGCGCCGACTTGTCACTACTATGGAAAGGTTTACAAGAAGGGTCATCTTCCCTTTACAAGAGGTTGTGCAGATTATATGAGACCATGTAAGAAATCACGTTTACAGAATCAATTGAAACACTTTTTTGCACAACTTCCCCTAAATTAGAGATTTTTGTGGGATACAGAAACTGTTGAAGATGCTCTTAAGGTGTATTGATGTAGATCATTTGGGCTGGTGTATACCCGGTGCGCTTTTAGACAAACCACAACAAAAATAAATTTGTTTTTTAATCCTTTTTTTAGGGATATTGTTTTCTATCTCAATATATAGACACGCGTGTCTCTTGTATGCTCTCAATATGAAAGGGCGCTACTACGATCTTTTAAAAAGATCCGCCGCCTCGCGAGACATCGGATCTGGCGAATTGAGTGGCCTAGCGTCATTCATTGCAACAAAGATTGTGTTGCGGTAATTTTCTGCAACACGGGTCATGCTGGAGAAATTTTTATAAAATATAGGTAAAGTTGCAGATTTCTTTTTGCAACAGAGGGGTTGTTATAATTTATTTTTTTCCAACGGAGGTCATGTTGCATTTTTTTGCAATAAAGGTCTTGTTACAGTTTTTTTTCTTCAGCAAATGCCTTGTTGCAATTAATTATTTTTGTAATAGAGGTTCTGTTATAATTTTTTGCAACTGAGGCTTTGTTGCAGAAAGAAGAGAAGGTGGGGAGTCAGGTCCATCACGTTACGTGGGACGCGTGGCGTCAAAGCAAGACAGCGGGCTCGAGTGTGATAATCCGCCACTTGAACCATATTGTTTCCCACAATGAGAAGATATTTACGTGGCATTTTTTCTATGTTAAGAGATAGTAAATATTAGTATGATTACCTTATATATAGGATATGTAGAAAGATTTAGCAAAATAGAGGAAATCTCCGTTTGGAAACAAGAAGAGAGGAGCTTGTACAGTCCTTTTATTTTGTGCGGGGAAGAGCTTCTACGAGTCAACACATAAAATAAGAGGGTATTGGCTGGAAGACTAGCAATAATGTCATAGATTAACTAAACAAGCGGTCAACTAACATACTTACCAACGGAAGCACGTCATAAGATTGAGAAACATAAGTTTTTAATGTACATAAAGGTTTCCTACCTGTATGTACGTCCGTATAAGTTTCTTGCGGATTCAGCCGCACCAAGGGTCACATTTCACCCGCAAGTGTACGTCCGTTGAATCCAGAAGAATTAAAGAAGGAACATGATAGACACTTGACCCGTGCCGCGTCAGAAGCGCTAACACTTTTTGCCAACCAGGAGTAATATCTTGGCGTCGTTGTCATGTTACCGTCGAGTTACCATAAGGATAATACTTGTTTACTGGGCAATAATGGAGTTGCTCGGTCTCTGCTCAAGGGCTCAACCAGCAATCTTGCAATAGGTTTTGGCAAGTTGGCATGGCTGGCGTCGCCCATGGGAAGTCGACCTGTGCCAAAATGACGTGTCTAAAGATGGGAGTTTTTGTTGATCCGGCCGTGTATGCATGACTAGATATTACTAGGAGATTATGAGAAGATAATTCCTTGGTGCACCTGTGAATGAATGGCCGAGGGAGAATTTCGCGTGCCGTCAGCCGGCTATCAGCCAACCATCCAACCCGCGGGTCCTATGAGGAAGAAAAACGTTTGTTTTTATCCGGATGAAAATAAACAAACGTAAGCCGCGCGCTGTGCTGGACACATGTCTTGTGGGCCCATTTATCGCTCCCAGCCGGCCTTATCTCTTCAAACCTAATCTTTTCCACACGTTCTCCTGCATTGCTTTTCCCCTTTCCCCCATCTCTGTGTCGTCACACGCGAGAAAGGAGATAGGCTCCCATGGCGGACGCCGGCAACCCCGCCCAGGTGCGGCGAACCAGGAGGCGGCTGGCGACGCTCCCCCCCCCTCCCGCGCGCATCTCCGCCACGCGCCACCGCCGCGGTGACTGCAACCCCGAGGGGGCGACGCAACACACAGGGGCAGGCGGCCGCTCTCGACGACCCATCGGTGCTGCGACACAGCAACTCGTCCATGGCCATAGTGTTGCGGCGCAACGTCGGGACGGTGCGGCTGGTTGCTGCAAGTCGCCGGCGGCAGAGCTGCAATGGAGCGCTCTCCGGGTCGTCGAAGCTCCGCCGGGGCTGCAATGAAGCGCCGCCGGAGCTGCAACGAAGCATGACAGAGCTGCAATGAAGCGCGCCGGAGCTGCAGTGAAGCACCAAGGAGATCGTTGAAGCTTCATCGGAGCTGCAATGGAGCTCGACCGGAGTTGCAATGGAGCTTCGCCGGAGCCTTTGTGCTGCGTTCGAGCTCGCCGGAGTTGCAATGGAGCTCCGCCGGAGCGTTGGTGCTGCATTGGAGCTCCGTCGGGTTGCAATGGAGCTCACCGGAAGTTGTCGATGCTTGGTTGGAGCTCCGCGGGGGCTGCGCTGAAGCTGTCACGCTCACTGCTGCCTGTTTTGATCCAACGGCCCCTTGCACGCTTATCGGACGGTTGTACAGGCGGATGATTTCTCTAAGAAATCATCCGGCTGATTTGTAGCAGCCGCCATGGAGGAAAGGTCCGGAAAAACGCCGAGTAGACTGCTTGCTACGCTACGAGCCTCATCTGGTCACCTGGAAATTTTAACACCTGCAAATTCTCGCACACGACATGAAGCTCAGCTAATATCTTGGGCTCGTTTGAATTTGCTCTTGGGCCTCAGTGGCTCCAATCGGGCAACGGCTGACTTGGACCGGCCTACTGATGGGTATGTGGCCCATAGCGAGGCAGCTCCTCTTGGACTGTTAGCTGGGTATGTGGCCCAGCCTAACGTGGACTCCGTTCGGGCGACTAAATACGTGGGGGCTGTTCCCTGCATGCGTGCGATCGATCACGAAGGTGCGTGCGATAAGCCGTCGTCGCTGTGCCCTAGCTGGATACGTAGGAGAGGGACGCCGGGGTTTCGTCCTTGTGGCCCGGGGAGAGCGGCGCGCATTCCTCCTCTCGGGTCCATGGCTGGACGTGGAGCTGCGGCGCCGCCCGCCAAGAAGCCGGCCAATGCTGCAGTTGGTCGGGGTGGGGCTATCGCGCTGTCGGGCGGGGTGGCACAGCCGCCGACTACGAGTGCGGGGCGCGGGGCCTTGGGGCCGCTTGGCCAGAGGCCGCCGGCGAGCAGTGTTGTGCCTACGGGTACCCAGGGTCGCGGCGTCGGCCACGCGGGCGTTCGGCCGCCGGGGCATGTGCCCATGCATGCTACGGCCGGAAGGGGAAGGCCCAGGCCTCCGGCACCGACTGCGGCGTCCGTGGCTGAGCCAGCTGTGGGTCACGGTGGGCCTCGGCCTCAGGCGCCGGGTGTGGCCGGCGTAGCTGCCGCTGGCGGGGGTGGTGGTGTGGCCCTTGGGGTTGTGCTGGCGCCTACGGGCGGCCAGCCTCGGGCCGCACCTCCGCCGCACTATGTCGCAAGGCCACCTCAGAATCGGTCGCATGTTCCGCCCTGAGGCCAGCGGGGAGACGATGGACATGATGCGTATGGAGATGGACAACATCGTGGTTCCTCTTCCGCGGGAGGAGGTCGTGGTTACGCCTGGCAGAGTGACGGGTCTACTGAGAGACTGTTCCTCGGTCCTCCCGGTGGATTTGTCGAAGGAGCCTCAGGTCCGGACAACCGCCAGAGAGGAGGCTACCGCGGACATCGTGGGGGTCGGGGTGGCCGTGGGAGGTATCGCCGACAACCTCCGCCCCCGGCTGGTGGTGACCACGCGGCGGCGACCGTGGAGACCGATCACGCTCAGTCTACGGACCTCACTACCCAGGCGATGGAGGTGGTTGCAGCCCTGGCTAGTATGGAGGTACCTGCTTCCGGGACGGTAGTTGAGGTTACTGACAGGTCTGACTCTGAGAGGGTGGCCAAATGGGCGCGTAAGAAAGAAAGGATGCTTTGCTACCATTGTGGTGAGAAGGGCCACTTCATTGCTGAGTGTGTGGCGGAGCTATGTGAGTCGTGCGGCAAGCCAACACATACATCTGGGGATTGCCCATTTTTGCGTGACCAGGCTCCGGCTCTAACAATGTATGGAGTATATTGTGCGGAGCTGATGTTCTTTGAGTCCCCGGCAGCGAGAGAGATTCCGGAGAAGACTCAGAGTATGACCACCGGGATTGTGAAAGCGACCCAAGGTGAGGTGACTGAGGCTCAGATTGTGCGGAGGCTTCAGGAACTGGCACCGGGTGAGTTCTAGTGGGAGTTGGTTGCTCTCGAGGATAATGTCTTTAGGGTGGATTTCCCCTCTGTGGATGATTTGCAGAGACAGCTGATCTTCGGTCTGTGTAGGGTTCCTGGCACAAAGTGCATCCTGGAGTTTCACGAGTGGAAGAAGGTGGAGCCTAAGGGCAAAACACTTACGTAGGTCTGGTTGAGGTTTTTGGGGCCCCGTCCAAACCGTTGCAGGATGTTCGTGTTGTGGCCAGCATGGGTATTATGGTTGGGAAGACGAAAAGAGTAGATATGGATTTTACTCGAGCTCATGGAGTAGCCTGGCTTCTAGTGAGTGTTCTGGATATTGAGTTTGTACTGGATAAGGTCAACTGGACTTATAGGGGAGAGGTTTTCCTGCTCGAGATTGAGTTTGAGGACTCTAATCTGTTTGCTGAGGCCATTAATGGGAATGACGTGGATATGCACGAGGGTGACGACAGTGCGGGTGCTAGGGGGGCACCGACTGAGGAGTCTTCGAGGGAGGGGACTAACGGTTCTGGCACCAGTGCTCAGTTTCCCGGGGTTGGGTCCGGGGTTGAGCCGACACCTTCACCATCGGTGCCTATGACTTCGCTGAGGTTTGGGTCCTTCGAGCCAGCCTCTGCCCCTCCCAGACTTTGGAGCGACAGGGTGGATTCTGATGATGTGTTCGAGCGTATGCTCCCTTTGTTGGAGTTTGGGGGAGCTGGCGGGTCTTTGCCTGGACCTATGGATATGGCTTCGTTGCCGAGGACTTTGGTTGGAGCTGGGGACGTTGAGCCCTTGGTTGCTTCACCTCCCCCTGTCTCACCTGTGGTCGAGGTTCCGGAGATGCTCTCTACGCCCGAGTTGGGGCTTGGGGGAGGGGAGTCGGGACAGGTGGCCTCGACAACTCCCATCTCCCTACTGTCACCGGTGATCCAGGTCTTGGAGGCGTCAGCGGGTGTTGCGACAGCTCGCCCGAGGCAGGTGGCCTCCGCTATTTCGTCACCAGTGGCGGCGACGGTGCCCACGACCTCTGTGGCGCTGGGGGGGAGGGTTCAGGGCAGGTGGCCCTGACTCCTCCTTCTTCTGCGGCAGTCAAGAGGACCGTCTCGCCGACGATGCCGGCGCGCCACTTGGCGCCGAGGGATGAGGCAGGAGGAGGGAGCGGGCAGGTGGCCCCAGCTGTCCCGTCTCTTGCCCTACCCATGGGGCACTTGTCCGAGGGGCTTGGGAGCCCGCAGCCGCCTCCTCTGTTTACTAGAGAGGAGGTAGTGGCCTTTGGCGGGATCCCAGACCCGGTCTCGACGGGGAGACGGATGAGTGCTCGCGTTCAGGAGCTTCCGGAGGTGGATGATATGCAGCAGCGGTGCGCTATGAGGGCGGCCAAGCTTCACGATGCGATATCTTCTGGTATGTCCATCAACATATCTAATTCTTTATTGCATTTTTCTCATAAGGAGATTATTAATAATGCAAACCAATTAGGAGTTTCACTAGGTGTTACTGATAGTGAGATCTCCAATTCGGTGAATGATATGTTAGATTTGGAGGCGGAGCGTGTCTTAGAGACTATTTGTAATCTTGCAGCGGTTAAACCCATGAACGATGAGGAGATTGATGCGTTAGGGGTTAGAGTGCTAGATAATCTGTGTGTGGATCTAGCACCTTCTAATCATGAGTCGGAGGACGATGATGTGCCCCTAGATGTTGCAGCTGTTAGTTCCGTTGAGCCCGGTTATGAGGACCGGGCGACAGAGCCCACTAAGCCAAAGCGTAAGTGGAAACGGAAGATTTATCCTGATTCTGCAGTTCGTAGGAGTGCTAGGATTCAGACTACTAAAAAATTCCATGATGAAATATGAAAGGAATCTTTTGGAATAGCAGAGGTCTGAAGGACTTGGCTAAAAGAAGGTTTCTTACTTAGGCTTCTCTGGAACATCGGTTAGATTTTATTGCTCTATCGGAAACCGGTAGAGATAATTTTGCGCCGCAGTTTCTATCCTCTCTTGTGGGTGGTATTGATTTCGATTGGCATTGCCTCCCTCCATGAGGAAGATCGGGAGGTATCTTACTGGGTGTGAGATGCGATTCCCTTGAAGTCTGGAGTGTAGTAATGGGTGATTTCGCAGTAAAGTTTCGAGTTGGGTCTAAAGTTCATTGGTTCAACTGGGCTTTGGTGGCGGTTTATGGTGCCGCACAGCCCGAGGTTAAACCGGAGTTTCTGGCGGACCTTGTTCGAATCTGTGGGTCCGAGCAGCTTCCGATTTTGGTCGGGGGTGATTTCAATATCATTAGGAGGAGAGAGGAGAAAAATAATGATAACTTTGACGGCAGGTGGTCGTTTATGTTCAATACCATTATTGAAAGCTTGGATCTGAGGGAAATAGAGCTTTCTGGTAGAAAGTTTACCTGGGCTAATACTCTGCCAAACCCGACATATGAAAAGCTTGATCGAGTTCTCGCGAGCGTGGAGTGGGAACAGAAGTTCCCTCTTGTTACGGTGCAAGCTCTCACGCAGGGAATTTCCGATCACACACCATTGTTCGTCGACTCAAGGGAGCCGAACCATATGGGAAACAAAAACACCTTCTCATTTGAGATGGCCTGGTTCCAATGCGAGGGGTTCTTAGACCTCATAGCCAGGGAATGGGCTAAGGGTGTAGGAGGTAGGACGGCGGTCGAGCGTTGGCAGAATAAAATTAGGCATTTGAGAAGTTTCTTGCGGGGTTGGGCTAAGCACCTCAGTGGGGTGTATAAGATCGAGAAGGATAGGCTCCTTTCTCTTGTACAGGCCCTGGACATAAAAGCTGAATCCGCGATTTTGCTGCCTCCTGAGCTCCAGGTTAAAAATGAGGCGGAGAAGAGGTTGAAAGAACTTCTCCATGAAGAAGAATTGAAGTGGGCTTTGCGAGCTAAGGTCCACAAAGTGGTCCAAGGGGACGCGAATACTCAATTCTTTCACCTCATTGCTAATGGTAAGCACAGAAAGAAGCGGATCTTTCAACTTGAACAGGATGAGGGTACTATTTTAGGTCAGGATAATCTCAAAACCTATATTACCGAATATTATAGACAGTTATTTGGACCCCCGGAGGATAATTGTGTGTCCCTCGATGAGTCCAGGACTAAGGATGTGCCTCAATTATCTGATGCCGATAATGATATCCTGGTTGCCCCATTCTCAGAGAAGGAGGTGTTTGATGCTATTGCACAAATGAAAAACAATAAGGCTCCCGGACCGAATGGGTTCCCGGCTGAGTTCTATAAAAAGTGTTGGCACATTATTAAGGGGGATTTACTACCTATGTTTCATGATCTATTCTCTGGACGGCTTCAATTATTTCATTTGAATTTTGGAACTATCACATTGCTCCCTAAGAAAACGGATGCTGTGAGAATTGAGCAGTTCAGGCCGATCTGCCTCCTCAATGTTAGTTTCAAAATCTTTGTAAGTGCATCTAGTGCCACCCCTAGTTGGTTTTGGAGTATTGACGACAAACCTAGTTGAGGGACTAATGTGTTTGTGAGAATTGCAGGATAACACAGGTAGAAGTCCCTCATTGATTCGGTTTTACTACCAGAGATGACCCCTAAAAATGTATGAAGACATTGAAGCCAAAGGTGGTATATGAAGATATTCACATTGAAGACTATGACAAAAGAAGACACGTTATGAAGCCTATGGAGCTCGAAGACTTAGATATTTCGTAGTTCTTTTTCTTTTATGTTGAGTCATAGGAACCACCGTACTGTTAAGTGGGGTCCAGGAGAACCAGTCAGAATGACTGAAGTAATGCCTAAACCAAAAACCTATGTCTTCGAGTGAAGACAATGAGAGCGAATCTTGTCCAGAGCCGGACAAGTCAGCTTTGCTTCTAGCCCAAGTAAAGTTGCCATGAGAGTTTGAAATCTGACCGTTGAGACACGTGTCAGTTCCTTAGTGACCCAGGGTCATTTCGGACAAATCAGGTCGGGTTGCCAAGTGGCTATAAATAGCCCACCCCCTACAACCATAAACGGTTGGCTGCTCAGATTTCAGTGCACGGCTTTTGTCGTTTGAGAGCAACCCACCTCGAAGCCGTTGAGAGAAAATTCCTAGCGAGGAGAAAAGCCCTAACCACCCAGAGCCAGAGAACATTGGGCATCACTTAAGTCTTCTTGTCTGTGTGATCTGAAGACTTATTACACTTGAGGACTGTGAATCCTCCAGACAGTTAGGCGTCGCGTTCAGAGCATCCAAGAGACATTGTGGATTGCCAGTGAACGAAGTCTGTGAAGGTTTGGGAGTCTACCTTGAAGACTTACCAGAGTGATTGGGTGAGGACTATGTGACCTTAGCTCAAGGAGAATACGGTGAGGACTTGGTGTCCTGAGCTGCGTGTTCAGGACTGGGTGTCCGGGACTGTGTGTCCTAAGGTTTAAATACCTAGCCGCTCAAACCAGACGTACAATTGTCACAGCAACTGGAACTGGTCCAACACATCATTGTCTTCAATGAGTCACCGGTTTCATCTTCACTTCCTTTTTCTTACTGTTACTCATTGTGAAGCCATTGCATGCTTGCTCTATCTTTTGTCTTCACAACGTGAATGTATGATCTGTTTGGCTTCATTACTTCTTCCTACCTGATCCTTATTACACTGCAGCTGTTTGTCTTTGTGCTTTCACTCTATTGAATACTTGACCATGGCTTGCCTAGTGTAATCTAACTTCCGCTGCACGGTAATAGGCAAAATCTTCGCTGTTTGTCTTCATAACTCCCATGTTGTGAAGACTTTCATAAAAATCGCCTATTCACCCCCCCTCTAGTCGATATAACGCACTTTCAATTGGTATCAGAGCAAGGTGCTCTCTTGTTTTGTGTGATTCGGTTTAACCACCTGGAGTTTTAGCTATGTCGACTGCAGGGATAATCAAAGTCTCCGCTGCGTGCCCCGTCTTCGATGGAACTGGATATCCCTACTGGAAGAATAAGATGCGCATGCATCTTGAAGCCATTGACGTCGACCTATGGTATGTCGTCAAGAACGGTGTTCCCAAGGCTGGAGAAGGTGTCACTGCTGATGATGTCAAGAAGTTCACTCAACTGGACTCTACTGCCAAAAATATCATCTGTGGTCATCTAACAAAAGGACAGTATGGCCATGTGAGTGCCTTGAAGACATCCAAGCTAGTCTGGGACTGGCTCTCCAAGGTCAATGAAGGCATCTCAACCCAGAGAGATCAGAGAATCAGTGTTCTTCGCAACCTCTTCAACCGCTTCAAGCGAAATTACAATGAGAATGTCTAGCACACATTTGACCGGCTCACTGACATCACAAATGAGCTTCAAGCCCTCGGCGCCACTGAGATCACCAAACATGAAATCATCAAGACGCTGCTGAGATCACTTGATAGTTCATTTGACATCCTAGCCCTGATGATTCAAGAACGTCCTGATTTCAAGACACTCGATCCGTCTGACATACTTGAGAGGCTCAACACACATGAGTTTCAGCTTTCTGAGAAAAGAGATATCTACGGTCCAAACTATGGGCGAACTCGTGCCTTGAAGACAAAAGCTGTTTCCTCATCTGAAGAAGAATCTGACAGCAGTTCTAATGATCCTGAAGACATTGGAAGGGAACTTGCAATGCTAGTGAAGAAGTTCCAAAAATTCACCAAGAAGAAAGGCTTCAGAAAATCTTCACGATCAAGCTCAAGGAATGATGAAGCTTCTGCTCATGACTACAAGAAGAAAACATGTCACAAGTGCAAGAAAACTGGACACTTCATCTCTGAGTGTCCACAGTGGGACAATGAGAACAGAAGGAAGAAGAAGGGCAAGGAATATGATTCTGATGACAAAAAGAAGAAAAAATACTCAAAGTCTTCTTCCAAATCTTCCTCAAAGTCTTCATCACACAAGAAGAGCTCATCTGGCAAGGCACGTGCGTTTGTTGGCAAGGAAATGGATTCAGAGGAGGAGTCCGCTTCTGAGGAGGCAGAGGTGGAGTCTGAGGAGGAGTCTGATTCTGGCATTGCGAGTCTGGCTACAGCATACGTCGCCAAGTCCATCTTCAACACTGAAGACAATGACTTCATCACCGACACCGATGCAAATGACAAGAACGACTCCACTCCTACCTACTGCTTCATGGCACGCGGTGCCAAGGTAAACACACGCACTACTCGCTATCAAACATCTAGTGACGATGACTCTGACTGTGATTCAAAACCCAGATACAAAACACTTGCTAAAATTGCAACTGAACAACAGAAAGCTATGGAACATATTCAAAAACTGTTAGACAGAAGCGATGATCTGTTGGGTGCTGAAATGACTCAATCTGAATCCTGAATTGAAGACATAAAAAATCTTCACGTTAAGTATCAGGAACTTGAAGATCGTCTTGATACTCTCTCAACAACTCATGAAAAGCTTTCCTATGATTATCTTCAAAGGAAGCAAGAACTTGAGAAATTGAGAGCGGCTCATGAAGATCTTCAAAAGGAAAACGAGTCACTTCACGCCGAAGAGATCAGTTCCGCTCAGGAAGGATTTGAACCACCATGTCTTAAATGCATTGAGCGTGATAATGCTACTTCTGTTGCTGAATGTTCCACTGCTACTGCTGTTGCAATATCTTCAACTGTTGATGTGGTAACTAACCCCTCTGCTGAGGATACCACTGCTATTGCTGATGAGAATGCTAGGTTGAAGACATTGCTTGAAACAGGGATGTACAAAAGTCTTAAAGGACATCAGACATTATGTGATGTCCTCAAGAAGCAGATTCTGAACCGAAACCCTAGGAAAGAGGGTGTTGGGTTCGTAAGAAAAATAAATGCAGATGGCTCTTACTGGAAACCTGAGCAGTACCCCAAAACCACATGGGTTGCTGCAAAGGAACCTTCAGCAGATCCATCCAATTTATCTGGCTTCACTTGTGTTAGCCCCATTATTATTGATGAATCCTTTGATGCAAACTATAAACTGTTTAAGAATCAGAATGGTGAAGTGTTTGCCAGGTACATTGGTACTAACTGCAGGAATGGACCGCCTATGAAGAAGATCTGGGTTCCGAAAACGTGTATGGAAAATCTTCCTGTGAATGTCTTCATGACACCTCACATGAAGAAGACAAACCTCAGACCAAAGGCGTCATACGGTCCAAAGGCTTCATACAGACAAAGGACTCACCTGAGTCACACTAACGCAAATGTTTTGCAGGGGAACCATACTCAGGCATATGAATATGAGAGCCGTTCATCAAACTGTCATGTTCATATGACCAAAAATTATTCTGCTTATTCTTATGAGTACTATTGTCCACCTGCAAGACTGTTTGCTAAGGCTTCAAAGCCAAAATTCTCAGATGCTGCACTTAGACTTATTGCTTCTAAGCCACCCTTGAAGATGTGGGTGGTTAAGAAGGCTTAACTTTCTTTTGCAGGGAAAGGTCTCCAGCAGAAAAACAAAATCTTCTGACGCTATTGCTGGGTTGATACCACCAGAAAGACAAAAAAAGATTCTAAGGAATCAAAAAAAAGGAAAATTTGGGTCTATGTTCAACGGAAAAAAGTTCTCAAGAGTAAGGAAAAGTATTTTGTTTCCGTTCGCCCTCTTGTAGGGCGCAAGATAAAATGCCCGAATGGCATCATTATGTACTTCGTTCCTGAATCGCATGCTACTCTCCCTATTAGTCCTAATCTGGATCTAAGTTTTCATAACCCACTGGTTCGTCAAATGTTTTTGCTTCACAATTCTCTTCGTGAAGCCTATCCCCCTAACTGCACTGTAGGGTACGAAACCAGCGTCTTCAAAGTCTTCAGAATGGATTATTGACAGTGGGTGTACAAATCACATGACTGGCAAAAGAAGCCTTCTTATGGACTCAACCTTACGTCCATCTGACAAGAGCCACATCACATTTGCTGACACTGGTAAAAGTAAGGTATTGGGTCTAGGTAGAGTTGCAATCTCAAAGGATCA